TGGTTTTTTGATTTATTGTAGAGATGAGGTCTCGCTGCCCAGGCAGGTCTCGAACCCGCGGGCTCAGGCAATCCGCTCACCTCAGCCTCCCAAACGGGCAGGATTAGAGGCTGAGCCACTGAGCCCGGCTATGTTATATGCATTTTAAATACCTAATAATTATAAAATATTTTAAAAGAGATTATTGTTCTGATCATTCTCTGATCCATCATTGGTGTTGGGAAGGGAAGAAGGGATATAGAAGATTTAGGAAATAGGATAGTTCACTTAGTATTGTGGTCTTCTACTTCATCCAATTTGCTTCAAAGTTCATGATTTTGTTCTTCTTTATGGCTGTGTAATACTCCATTGCATATAGTGTACCACATTTTCTTTATCTAGTCCACTTTAGATAGGCAGGAGGGTTGGTTCCATGTTTTTGCTATTGTGATAATGCAGCCATAAACATGAGTGTACAGGTGTCTTTTTCTTAGAATGATTTATGTTCCTCTGGGTATATTCCCAGGAGAGGGATTACTGGATCATATGGAAGGGCAATTTTTAGTTCTTTTAGGAATTGCCACCTTGAGCTAGCATTTGTTTTTTGACTTATTAGTGATAGTCATCCTTAGTGGAGTTAGGTGTTGTCTCATTGTAGTTTTGATTTATATTTCTCTGATGATTAGTGAAGCTGAGCATTTCTCATGTGTCTGTTGGCTACTTGTATGTCTTCTTTTTAGAAGTGTCTGTTCATGTTTTTGCCCAAATTTTAATGGTGTTTTTTGTTTGTTTGTTTTCTTTCACTTCATTTGAGTTCCTTGTAGCTCCTGGATGTTAGGCCTTTGTTAGATATATAATTTGAAAATTTTTTTTCTTGTTCTGTGAGTTGTCTCTTACTCTTTTGATAGTTTCTTTTGCTGCACAGAAGCTTTTCAGTTTGATGAAGTCCCACTTGTCTATCTCAGCTTTTATGGCTTTCTCTTTTGAGGACTTGGTCAAGAATTTGTTGCCTAATTCAATGTGCATAAGGGTATTTCCTGTTTTCTTCTAGGATTCTCAAAGTTTGAGGTTTTACATTTAGGTCTTTGATCCATTTTTGAGTTGATTTTTATATATGGTGATAAGTAAGGGTTCCGTTTCATTCTTTTGTATGTGGTCAGCCAGTTTACTCAGCACCGTTTGCAAAATATGATCTCCTTTTCCCAGTGCTTGTTATTGGTGGCTTTGTCAAAGATGAGTTGGCTGAGAGTTCATATTTTTGCTTCCAGAATTTCTGTCCTGTTCAATTGGTCTATGTGCCTGTGCCTATACCCAATAGCAGGCTGTTGTGATTACTGTAGCCTTGTTTTTTTGTTTGTTTGTTTTTTGTTTTTTAGTTGGAGTCTCACTCTGTTGCCCAGACTGGAGTGCAGTGGCTGCTCCCAGCCACCGCAACCTCGCCTGCTGGGCTCCGGCGATCCTTCCGCCTCAGCCTTCTGAGTAGCCAGAATTACAGGCATGCACTACCACGCCCAGCTGATTTTTTGATTTATTGTAGAGATGAGGTCTTGCTGCTCAGGTGTGTCTTGAACCTGCAGGCTCAGGCAATCCACTCACCTTAGCCTCCCAAAGGCGCGGGATTACAGGCTGAGCCACCGAGCCCGGCTACTGTAGCCTTTAAACTGTAATAAAGTTTAAAGTCTGGAAGTGTGATACCTCCCACTTTGTTCCTTTTGCTAAAGGTTGTTTTGGCTATTCATACTTTTTTTGTTTCCATATGAGTTTCTGTATTGTCATTTCCAGGTCTGAGAAAAATGATATTGGTAATGTGATAGATCCTGTATTGAATCTGTAGATTGCCTTGAGTAGGATGCAGATCTTGACAATATTGATTCTTCCACTCCATGAGCATTTATCCAATTGTTTGTGTCATCCCTAATTTCTTTGAACAGCCTTTTATAGTTTTCATTGTAAAGGTCCCTTACTTCTCTGGTTAGTGCATACCAAGGTATTTATTTGTGTGTGTATGTGGCTATTGTGAATGGAATTTTGCTCTTTATTTGGTTCCCTACCTACTTGTTTCTGATTTATAGAAATGCAGCTGTCTTTTGCACATTGATTTTGTATCCCGAGATTTTACTAAAGTCGTTAGTGTGAGGAGGCTTTTGGCAGACTCTCCAGGGTTTTCAAGGTATAGAATCATGTCGTCCACAAAGAGCGATAGCTTGGCTTCCTCTTTTCCTATTGAATTCCTCTGATTTCCTTCTCTTCCCTGATTTCTCTGGCTAGGATTTCCAGTATTGTGTTGAACAGAAGAGTTGTGAGTGTCATCCTTGTTTAGTTCCTGTTCATAGGGGAAATGCTTCTAGCTTCTGCCCATTGAGCAAAATGTTGGCTGTGAGTTTATCATAGGTGGCTCTTACTGTTTTGAGGTATGTTCCTTCTATGCCTAGATATTAGAGGGTTTTGTCAAGAAGAGTTACTGAAATTTGTCAAATGTTTTTCTGCATCTAATGCGATAATCATGTGGCTCTTGGTTTTTAATCTGTTAATGTGATGAATTATGTTTATGATCTTGTGAATGTTGAACCAGCCCTTCATCCCAAGAATGAAGACCACCTTGTCATGGTGGACAGTCCTTGAAATGTATTGTTGGATCCAGTTTGCTAATCTTGTTGAGAATTTTTACATCTTTGTTCATCAAGGAGATTGTCCCATAATAGAAACAGAATGAAGTATCTCTAGTATCATCTCTCTCTGTACTGTTTTCCACCTTGATGCTGCTACTTTTCTGCCTGGCTACCTCTGTATAATTCGCTAAAGCCGTGGCTACATCTGTCCCCTGATTTTGAGGCAGATGTGGTAAGAAGGCTCTGAAATAGGAGAAGTGCCTCTATGGGGGATGGAGGGAAGGGTGCCCACAAGGAGCAGTTCATGCCCAGTATGGGCAATACCCTTGGGTTAGTTGGGTATTTGGAATAACTATGTTGCCAGTTATGTTTATCCTTAAATGTAAATTGGTTTGCTCAGACATTTGCAGTTGAACTCTTTAGTCATTAGTGGAAATGGAAATCATAGGTTCCTTTGATAGCGATTTTTGGTTAAAGTATAGCAGAAGATTGGCAGAAACAGAAAAAAAAACTTATTTATTGTCTGTGATATTTTAGAGTGGTGAGTTTCATGCTTGCTTGAGATCACATCTAGCCATAGAAGTGATTAGGTAAGAGATATTGCATTCTCCACCACCCCCACCTACGTATAAACACACACACATACAAACCTTTCACACTGAAATAAAATCTCTAGAGATGAGCATGACGTGTGTACATCAAAAAAGTCTACTGACACTCCTTAATAAACTCTCATTATTGAGAATCATTGTATTAGACCCTCCTATATGATACCTTATTTAATCTCAAAATAATCCTATGAGGAAAATAGTCTTACTCCATTTTATAGATAAGCAAATTAAGGTTTAGAGAAACTGAGTATCTTGTTCTAAGCCACAAGCCTGGAGAGCCAGAACTGAACTCCAAGTCAGTGGAACTCCAAACCTATTACTTTTTACATTTTATTTCCACAAATTCTGGTGTCACCAAAACCTGACCCTTCAAGAAATATCTCTCTAGTGAATGGAGAAGATGTCTGATGACCAGGGTAGGTCTATCAGTCAGAAACCCAGAAAGGGAGAGGACACACCCAGTAGGGTCTTTTGAGAGAGTTTAGTATTGACAGTTTACAAGAGAATAGGCAGCACCTTAGGGCTAATTACAAGTGTTAATCATGTAAATTAATTCCTGTAGGCCTGCAGTAACCTCATCTTAATGGAAACTAGAGAGAAGAGTGATGGAAAAGGAAAGAAAGGGAACAAAAAAAAAAAAAAAAGAGGGAGATAGAAAGAGCTACCTGATGGAGCTGTGGCTTTTTGTCCAGGGACCTAACCAGATCACAGCAATCGTGGGGGTGAGGTAGGCTTAGGGCATTGTCTTGATGGTCTTTGATAAATCCAGCAGCAAAGCCAGAAGGCAAAGGACCTTAAGGACATTGATCATACTCATCAAAGGACCTTAAGGACATTGATCATACTCATCTGGACAGAGGGGGTGAGAGAATGAATCTGGGTAAGTTCAGCACAGGATGTTAGCAATGTGTCTTCTCCACCCCACTCTAGAGCCTCACCTCCACTCTCCCTGACAGTAAATAAAAACTGCAAACGCTTAAACAAATAAAAATCAGCAAGTTTTTAAACCCATGGTTGCAAATACTTCTGAAATATATTAATGCACTTTCTTACTAAGTGATTATAAGCATCAGCATTTGCTCTACTTTTACTGTATTACAGACAAAAGAAGTTTGAAATATTGGCTAAGACCTTTTCTTATATAGGTATATATACTTTTAAATTTGGGGTTTTTTTAAATAGGGGTGTCAGGTTAATTTACAAACAGAAAAGCTTGTCCATTTTAGGTATATAATCCTATCCAGTTTTACAAATGTATACAGTCCTGTAACCAGCACCACAATCAGAATATAGAATATTTCCATCATTCCAAAAAGTTGTAAAGATTTTTAAAATCCTCAGTTCCACTCAACTAAACATTTAGTATCAACTTCTGTTTCTTTTGATTTTAAATAGGAAAATTGATGATAGCAACCAGCAATGTGTTGCACACAGGAACTGCTTTTATGAAAAGTATTTTAGTGGGTTTGTCTCCTCACCCTTCTGAATAATGTAAACATCCCATGTTGGTTAATTAACTTTTTCATGTATATGAAACTAAGCAGTGGTTCATAACTTTGGCTCCACACTGCCGTCTCTTGGGTCTATTAAATGGCCTGATGGCCAGGTGACACCTACATTAAATCAGGATGTCTGAGGGTGGTTCCAAGGTGTCAATAATCTAAACCTTTCTGAATGGTTCTAGTATGTAATCAAGGTTGAGATCCTCTGGGCAATTGTTTAGAAATAGTGATGACTTTCCACCAATTCTGATTTATACAACTTGTGCATAAAGAAAACTTGTTTACTATAAGAAAAAAAAAGTTTAAGTAACTTAGATCTCTGAATAGTTGAGCTCCATTTAATCAAAATTTCATGATAGTTCTGGGTGTGTAGTAGTGTTCCATAAATGTTAATGGAGATTCTAATCCCACAGTTAAGTCAAAGAGATAAAATATGCTCCCTCTTAAAAATGAACTGTGTATTTGAAATAATTATATTGCCAAACTATCACTTTCTGAAAATTGTCTTCTTGGGTAATTTGCCTCAAATAGTAAGCCTTGTATTTTAAGAGAATACTATATTTCAACCAAATTTTCACACCATACTATTAGACCCGTATATATCTTATAGCACTTTCATAATTCTTCCAAGGAAATAGACAAGAAACAAGATTAAGAGACTGGGGCAAGACTTAAACCAGCCTCCCATTTGAAGTATAAATGACATAATTGCAGCTTTGAGCCTGAAGAATACTGCTACTTTATAAAAGAGAGCAATGGTACTTTCTTGCTTTTACAGTAGCAAAATGTATACACAAAGGACCATAGTGCATGGCTAGAACAGAAACAAAGTAAGTGTCTAATGAAACAGAACTAGCAAAACTTTTACATGTATCGTTTTAAGATTTAAGGAAATAGTAACTAAAATAACAAAAATCTTTCAGCATAAAGCTGTTGATGATCTATTATGGCAGAAAGTCTCATTAAGCAAACCTCTCAAACTTTATTGTTCTAAATAATTCATCAGCATGCTATATGTTTCAATGTACACTAAAGGCCCTACATGTCATATTTAATCTCTTGAACATACACTCATGCAACAAACGGCATTTTTCTTAAGTTAACTGTTCTGGTTTAAAATAGAAAATATAGGGTTTATTTAATTTGACCTTTCCACTTCTTATTCAAATATCCCCTCCCCTTTTTCCCCCCTTTTAGGGCCACCTCAGAAAACAGTGTCACCTAAACAAGAACATGAAGATAGGAAACACGACAAAGTCACCGATAAAGGAAGTGAAAGCGGGACTTCCTGCAATGAGCTCTCCACCTCCAGTTGCGACAGCCACTCAGAGGCCAGCACTCCCCAGGACAACCCGCCCAACGCCTCTCAGGCAACGGCTCACCCACCTAACACCTTGACATTGGATCGCCCCTCCAAAAAAGCTCCCGTTCAATGGATGCCCCCACCAGACAAACGCAGAAACAGTGAACTCTTTCAGACACTCATCAGCAAGTCCCGGGAAACAAATCTTTCCAAAAAGAAAGTCTGCGAGAAGCTGAGTGTGGAAGAAGAAATGAAAAAGTGTATTCAGGATTTTAAAAAAATCCATATTCCAGATTATTTTCCGGAGCGCAAACGCCAATGGCAATCTGAACTACTACAGAAGTACGGGTTATAGTGATGATCATGTTCCTGCAGTATTTTGATGACATTTAATGTTTACTACAACGTCATGCTGCTCTTCCTTTGTGTGAACAGTGGATGTGGGACAGTATTTTCTTTTATTCTTTTGTTGTTGTTGTTTTTAGAAACATGATTTTAAAAAAGGAAAAAAAAATGAAGTCAATACTTGTCAAATGAAAATGGTGGATCTGAGTCAATCCATATTGCAAGAATGAAAGCAAAATGTGCATGATCAAGAATCTTAGAATCTTGATTTTTGGACTGTGGTCAACTGGACATGTTTGTCATTTTATATCTCACCAAAAACAAACCATTGTATCATACCAACTACAATGACAATGTGAGTTAAGCAACATCAAGCAACATTTTAGATGATGGTTTTAGGACCTAACTCCAAAACTGTCTAAATGTTAATGCAATAAAACAGGTATTATTTTTTGCATGAGCACAATGTTACAAATAAATCACAAGAAATAGGGAAGATCTGTTTGTTGCTTGGAAAGAAAAAAAATACAAAAAAAAAAAAGCAAAAAAAAAAAAAAAGTTTTAGGCAAAGCCTATAAATGTAAACTGTCTTGGAAACTGGATTTTCTTTGTTCCGGATCTGTGATTTTTTTGTGTATGTGTATGGTGTTTATATATGTTAAGATGGTGTAAATATGCCTTATACTGTTGTGTTATGGCACCAACATTCATCTATTAATGCTAGTCATGATTATTTCTGTGAAATGAGTCTTTTACATCAGGCTGTGAAAATTGGTATAATAATGCTCTGAAAGATCCTATTATCATGTTAATCAAAATAACAGAGGGAAATGGTAAAGAGCTTTATGTATTATTAAAAAAAGGAAAATGTGTTAGAATTCCTTGATTTCCATTGACTCTTCTTTAAAGATATTCGATTGTGATGTTGTCTTCAATTTTTCCTTAAAAACTCAAGCTATGAAATGATTTATTAAGATTCAATGTTGACTAGTTTAAGCAATTCAAAATAGCGGTAGAATCAGATTCAAATAGTCTTGGAATTGGCTAATAAATAGCCCACAAGACAAAAAGACCTCCTTGAAAATACACCAAAATTTTATTTTAGCAGACAATCAGATTGAAAAACTCTACAAAAACAATTGAAAAGTTACCTCTTACAAAATAGGGCACAAACACACCAATAGCAAGCTAACAGGTCAACCTTTATGAAAAGTGATTTCTTCCTGTTTATATGGAAACAAGCTTTTTTATCATAAGCTACACAAATTTGTCCCACCATTTCTACAGAAAGAAAAACATAGCACTGTAAAATTTTACTAAGGAAAGAGCTGAAAGAGGGTAAAAATATCTTTTTTTTTTTTTTTTGGTTGGAGTCTCACTCTGTCACCCAGACTGGAGTGCAGTGGCCGCTCCCGGCCACCGCAGCCTCGACCTGTTGGGCTCCGGCGATCCTTCCGCCTCAGTCTTCCAAGTAGCTGGAACTACAGGTGTGCGCTACCACACCCAGCTGATTTTTGATTTATTGTAGACATGAGGTCTCGCCAAGTTGCCCAGGCGAGTCTCAAACCCGCGGGCTCAGGCAATCCCACTCATCTCAGCAACCCAAGGCACAGGATTACAGGCTGAGCCACTGAGCCCGGCTATCTTTTTTTTTTTTTTTAATTTAGTTTTTGTTTTGAGTTGGAGTCTCACTTTGTCACCCAGGTTGGATTGTAGTGACATGCTCACGGCCACTGCAGCCTTGACCTGCTGGGCTCAGATGATCCTTTAGCCTCAGCCTTCCAAGTAACTGGAACCACAGGTGCCTGCCACCATGCCTGGCTAATTTTTTGATTTATTGTGGAAATGAGATCTCACCAAGTTGCCCAGGCTGATCTCGAACCCATGGACTCAGGTAGTCCTCCCACTTCAACTGCATCCAGCAAAAAAAAAAATCTTTAAGAAATGTAAACTCAGTCTCCTCTGTGATTACTTGGAATGGAAATTAAACAACATTTGTGGTGTCATGTCTTTCAAATAATACAAGAAGACAAACATTATCCACTCCAAGTTTAAAATCTGTGTTCACTTGGATGTATTTTTAGATTTCTCACTATAGCATTATGTATATTGGACTATTAAAGAAAATGAAGATATATGATGTTCCTTGAATTATCTATCAGGCTTTAGGAAGAGGATGTCTTTCTAGTTTTTCATTTCATTTTAAGTAGGTTGGCAGTCCCTCCATGGTTTGGGGTAGCTTCAACACATTGGAGAGTGTATAGAGCTTGGTGAATAGGTTGCCACAGGTCATGTGCCACCTCTGTCACTTGCTCTGTGTGATCTCAGGGATAATGGGGATAAGAATATTGTAGAAAAGATTTAAATGATGTAATTGATGTAAAGCATCACCACCATTCCTGGAGTTGGGGAGAAAAATGAAGGTGGTATTCTCACTGGAGTCTAGGAGCCATCACTAACTAATGGGGAATTTGGAATACAGGCAAGCAAGTTGTCCAGTAAGAACTATAGCCTCTAAGGAGACATAGTCACTTCTAAAGATGCCTTCTGAACACAAAGAGAGGGGAAGCATTACCCTTGTTTCCCATTGCCTCCCATATTCTAAGAATAAGAATATCAATATCATCCTTTTTCAAATGTAAGTAGAAACCAGTTGGCAAAGGAGCCTAGAAAATATAATTTGTGCAAGTGAACCCCTTGTGATACACAGTCCAACTGCAAAGGACAAGGAGTAAATCTAGACAAAATACCTTGCACCTTATTCTATTTTTTTCCTTCAACACAGAAATTCAAAGAGTTGCAATGGAAATAACTTGGTAATTGAGAACTATTTCAGATCTTCATATCTCTACAGTCTAAGAGAAACAATACCAGTGAGAATTGTCTATCCTTACAGTCCTTCTGACCAAGTGAGAATGAACATTTCAGCAATAGTCTATTGAGCACTTGCCTTACCCCAAGCTTTTGTCTCAAAGGTTAACAACATGGTCAAGAAACACAAATTATCAGCTGTTGCTCTTAAAAGGAAGCTTGTGGTCTAACTCTTCCAAATCATGATGCTTTCCTTAGAAGCTAGAAACTGGCCAATCTCTGTTTGTATTACAGTGGGATCAAGGGAGGCAGCTAGAATGGAACCTCTCTTGTGAAGGAAAAAGTGATACCAAACTTTAAAGGTGAGTTGGGCTAACCTTGGTATATAAAACTCCTTTTCAATGAATCAGGAGATAAAATATGATGGTCACCATAAGTCAGAGGATGAATCAAACACTGAAGTTATTATCCCCCACATGGTCTACTTTGTGTTTGGCATACAGTAGACACTCACCTTGTAACCTGATGTGCTACTGATGCTATTAGTAGTATATGTGGAAACATCTAGTACTAACTAAATGAGAAAAGGAAATAAGAGTCCATTGTGAAATTTTTGATTCTGGAAAAATGAAATTGACTTGGTTTATTTTTCTATTCTTCCTACTAGGTATGATTAAATCGTATACATAATATACAAACAAACTTTAAGCAGACTCTGAAAGGCTGAAAGAAGAAGGAAGGCTGGCTAAGGATAGTGGTTGGCGAGTTCCCTGGGTTTTCTTTTTGCCACTTATATCCCAGACTTAGAGTCAAAGAAGTGGGTAACCTAGAAACACCAACAAGTGCAGACAAAACAAGCCCCAACCAAAGTCTGTTCTCTCTTGTCAAAGGGCCATAAAAGGGATAGCAAGACAGAAATGTTTGATATAAAAGCTTTTAGATGATAACTGCCCTGTGGTGTCAGGTTGGGGGTAAGGTAGACACAATTGTATTGGTCATTTTAAGCTCCCCACTTTTCATAGAATTAAGTCCAATCACTTTATAGGTCACGTTCTAGGCCCTCAATGAAGTGGCTCCCTATTCGTTTGCATCTGTTGGTCAACAAACCACTTCAAAACATAGTGACTTTAAAAACCAATCAAGTATCAGCTTGCAGTTCTGTGGATTGGCAATTTGGCCTGAGATCAGCTGGGCTGTTCTTCCACTGATGACACCTGAGCTTACTCACTTGGACAATTAACAAGTGCTAATTGGTAATTTGGCCGGAACCGGATAATTTGTCATGGCCTTGCTCCATGTTTGGCCATTGACAAACTGCAGTCACGTACCTCAGTTTTCCACATAGTCTAACCCAGATGTATCCACATCGTGACAGTGTCCATGAGTGCTCAAAGCCTCTGAAGGCTTGGCTGCCAATTCATACATCACTTACCTATATTCTATTTGGGGAGATCAAGGCAAGCCATTCCAAATTCAAGGAATATGGAAATATGCTTCACTTCTTTATGGGAAGAGTAGCAAAGAATTTGTGAGCATTTTCAGTTTACCACAGTTCCAACCCACCCATTCTAGATTTCCATCTAGAATCAAAATCTGCACATCAACTAGTGATTTGCTATGACTCTGCATATGCCCTAAAATCATCACCATCCCCCCAAACCCAAAAACATACAAACTTCTTCCGCTAACTTTTGAAATCTTACCCATACTACATGTTTTAATTAAAATGACATCTACTTTTCAAATATTTTTTTTAACTCCTCAGGACAATTATGATGCATTCTATTCTGAAAAACTATGTATCACTTTAAAACACCCATGCTGTACCTGTCACTTACAATTTATCATGTATAAGGACAAGGATATGCATTCGACTTTTGCTTCATCTAGGTTAAGATCTTTTCTTTGGGAGAAATTATAAGACAGTTTCTGGCACACAGTGGGTTTAATAATTTGAGGAAACTAAGTGCCCATTGTAATGCAAGTATCTCATTAACAGTCCTTGATAAATCCTCTTCCTGCCTCACTATGCTTGCTAAAAGTCATTTTACAGTGTTTCTAGGCCAGATCCCTTTCATTGGTCCTACACTGCTAATTCCTCATAGAGAGGTTACTCAAATGGGTATTTTTAAAACATTTCACTATTTGTTCCAATTTGGATTAATGTGATGTTGGCATCTCCTGCCTGAGATGCAGTGACCATGCCAGAAAAGTATTTGTTCTCTTCCACAGTGTTTTCCCTTTTTTGGGGCATACAGTAAACATAACTTATGACCTGATGTATTTGTGTTTTGTAGTTTAGATAAGTAAATTTTAAGAAAGAATAGTTTTATTCACTTTTTTCAAGAAAGTAGTTTGAAAGAGTTTTATGTAGAACACTTAAACTTCAGATCTATTTTCTTTAAATGAACGTTCTTTCTCTATTCCATGGTTCTAAAAACAGTCACTTTGAAGCATTACATATAGGGGTTAAAGGAATCATGCAACTACATGGTTGAAAGAATCTTCTTAATAAAAATCAGGTACATTTTCTATATAAATGGATCCAAAGTAATCTACATGTATTTCTAGACTATGAGCTAGTACTTTACCAGATATATCACAGTAATATAGATGCTTTAAGGGCTTATAGCAATCGGACGTGAACCGTGACTATGACGCAGGGTAGGCAATGGGCTTGACTGTGACAAAAGCACAAATATTGTTACTTGAATTTAGAGGAAAAGACAGCTTTATGGTGGAAGGTGGAAATGGAATGTGATCTGGGACTTGAATTAAAGGAGATTTGGATTTATAAACACAAGAATTTTGAAAAGAGGACAAGAAAGAGACAAATCTATAAGTATGAATATGTAAGAGGACTGTAGTAAATGGAGATATTTCAGAAAAAATTCACAAAAATCTTATTGAATATATTTTAAATATTCAATATTAAAATTGAATATATTTTAAATATTCAATATTCTGACTGTTTTAATGCTAATCTTCATAGTCAGGATTTTATTCTTATGAGTCAATTCTTTGTGTACCTACCCAATCTTTTTTTCTCTGGTCTCGAGTTGCAGCA